CAGTCCACCATTTTTCCCCCCTTTTCCTTAGCTGTGCTACTCCCTTTTATTCTATTGGCTTTTGAAAGCCAATAGAATAGACTCTCTTGAATAGAGTCTAATTCTATTGGCTTTCAAAAGCCAATAGGAATTGTCCAGGCTGTCTCTGCCCTGCTGAGCCCGCCAAAAGTCCCATTCTGCAAACGGTGCTGCACCAGTTGAGTAGTCCTCGACTTACGACCGGTTGAGTAGTCCTCGACTTACGACCGGTTGGGGGTCGCGGCATTAAAAAGGTTGAGAACCACTGCCCTAGTGAGACCACACCTGGAATACTGCAGCCAATTTTGGTCACCATACTACAAAAAAGGACGTTGAGACCTTGGAAAAAGTTCAGAGAAGAGCAGCTAAGATGATCCAAGGTCTGGAGACTAAAACATACAAAGAACAGCTGCAGGACTTGGGTTTGGCTAGTCCACGGGTCGGCAACCTGCGGCTCCAGAGCCGCATGCGGCTCTTTCAGCCGTCTCCTGCAGCTCCCTGTCCTCAGCCACCATGTGCACTCTGGGAAAAAAAAGTGGGACTAAAAAAGTTCAACCAATCAATTCAAACTTCTCATGAAGTTTGAATTAACTGGTTGAACGTCTTTGGTTTGTGGGACTGCCCACAAACCTCTTTCCTTCTTCGTACTGCACGTGGTGGCCGGGAGGATTGCTGGAAAGGTGTCCCTGGTAAGGAGTCGCGGGTGGCCAGTCTTGGGGTGCTTCTTCCCTGCCCGGCGGGTCTCCCCTCGCCCTGCTCTGCCGCCGCCTCTGTTAGTTGGGGGGCGCCAGAGGTCTTCCGGAGCCTTCCCTCTCCGCCTGCGCCTTTTGGCCATCTCACGGGCAGCGGATTCCCCCACGGTGCCTGCCCGGCCCTTTCCCCATCTGATGCGCGGTCCTCTTGGCCGTCCTCCCGCTGCCGCTGCTGCCAGTCGCGCTGAGCGAGGCCGAAGTGGCGGCGAGCGGGCAGCCGCGCCACTTCGCCGTCCTCCTGCTGCTGCCGCCCCCCTCGGTGCTGTAGGAGGGGGAGACCTTGGGCTGCGAGGGCGGCGGGTCAGGACGTCCGTGCGTCGGCATTCCCCGTTGCCGGTGCGGCCACCCATGGTGCACTCGGCCTTGACCCCCTCTTGTGATGGTGAAGAGACTGAGGATGCAGCAGGGGCGGCAGCCGGGCCAGGGACGGTGGGGACCCCCAACGATGCTGCAGTGGCCAGAGCCGCTGCCTCCCGTCCTGCTCCCCCTCCCCGCCCGTTCGGCTGAGGACGTGGCGGGGGCAGTAGCCAGGCCGCGCCGCTGCCACCGCAGCTGATGCCTCCCGTCCTGCTCCCCCTCCCCGCCCATATTTTGTATAAATTGGAGTTTTGTGCCACAGGCACTTCGCTAAATTCATTGTTAGCTATAATCTTTGCCAATTCCCAGTTCACCAGGGTAATTTCATTGCCATTAAGACACTGTGCTCCTGCACAAAAGATTAATGGCATGAGGGAGCTTTATTGGTGTTCTTCCTCATGTCTTCTCTAAACATCCTATATATCTGGGAAGGAAATCTTTGATCCTCCAGATAGGATTGAACTACAATGCCCAGAGTCCTATCAGCAGGTGTTATAGTTCAGCAACACCCAAGTCAGTTCCTCAGCTCACCTTTCAGTGCAGGATTATATTGTTTACAAACATCACACTGTCCTCTAAGGTTACCAGAAGATGCATCTAGTTTGTGCCCCTTCTTTTCATGTTACTGTGTCAGCCATATAAGACAACATCATATAGATCAGGTTTACAGAGAAAGAGAGAGAGAGAGAGAGAGAGAGAGAGGAAAGAGAAAGAGACAGAAGGAGAGAGAGAGGAAAGAAAGAGAAAGAAAGAGGAAAGAGAAAGAGAGGGAGAGAAAGGGAGAGGAAAGAGAAAAAGGGGGAGAGGGAAAGAGGAAAGAGAAAGAGGGAGAGGAAAGAGAAAAAGAAAGAAAAAAGAGGAAAAAGAAAGAGAGGAAAGAGAAAGAAGAAGGAGAGAGAGGAGAGAGAGAGAGAGAGAGAGAGAGGAAAGAGAAGAGAGAGGAAAGAGGGAGAGAAAGGGAGAGGAAAGAAAAAGGGGGAGGGGGAAAGAGAAGAAAGAGAAAAAGAGGAAAGAAAAAAGAGGAAAGAGAAAGAGAAGAAAGAGAGAGAAAGAGGAGAGAGGAAGGAAAGAGAAGAGAGAGAGGAAATAAAAAGAGAGAAAGAGAGGGAGAGGAAAAAGATGGGAGGAAAGAGAAAAAGGAAAGAAAAAAGAGAGGAAAGAGGGAGGGAGAGAGAGGAAAGAGAAAGGAAAGAGAGAGAGACCCTTTTGACATCTAAAACGAAGATAACACTGCATATATCCTTTTTTACCTTTATTTTATATATACACACACAAACACATACATACATACATATTGAAGGTAAAAAAGGATATATGCAGTGTTATGTTTTGCGGCTCCCAGTGTTTTGTTTTGGGTGGGAAACGGGTCCAAGTGACTCTTTGAGTGTTTGGGTTGTCTACCCCTGGGCTAGTCTAAAGAAGAGAAGAAACTGGAGACATCATAGCAGTCTTCCAGTGTTTGAGAGGCTGCCCCAAAGAAGAGGGGGGTCAAGCTATTCTCCCAAGCACCAGAAGACAGGATAAGAAACAATGGCTGGAAACTGACCAAAGAGAGAAGCAAACTGGAATTAAGGAGAAACTTCCTGACAATGAGGACAATTAACCAGTGGAACAGCTTGCCTCCAGAAATCGTGGGTGCTTCATCACTGGAGATTTTAAAGAAGAGACTAGACAGTCACTTATCTGAAATGGTATAGGTTCTCCTGCTCGAGCAGGGGGCTGGACTAGAAGACCTCCAAGGTCCCTTCCAGCTCTATTCTTTTCTAAAATTTCTCACATCTGAGGGCCCTTGTTGAAGACAGGCAGAAGGGACAAATGGTTGGATCCTCTGGTTGTGCCTGTGTCTGCTCCTCCTGAGGCCAGTTTTTGTGATCTTTGAACCTGTTGGTCTCGGATTCCTCCACATTGCTGGTTTGTTGAATGCTTTTGCAACAAAGCAGGGCTTTGCTGGGTAGCCTGGACTTTGGACCGGAAAGTAGAGAATCAGAAAAATGGAGAGAGACCTTGTGGTTTTTCCTTAGTTTCAGATTGGATCTCTCTTTGATAAGCTCCTATCCGGTAATTTTTGCCCTCCCCTCAGGTGCTATTCTCCAGAGGGCCTGAGGGCAGGACAAGAAGCAGCGGATGAAAACTCATCAAGGAGAGAAGCAAGCTAGAACTAAGGAGAAACTTCCTGACAGTGAGAACAATCAGCCGGTGGAATGACTTCCCTCCAGAACAGTGTTTCTCAACCTTGACAATTTTAAGGCATGTGGACTTCAACTCCCAGAATTCCACAGCCAGCAATGCTGGCTGTGGAATTCTGGGAGTTGAAGTCCACATGCCTTAAAATGGTCAAGGTTGAGAAACACTGCTCCAGAAGTTGTGGGTGCTCCATCCCAGAAGTCTTCAAGAAGAGATTGGACAACCATTTGTCCGAAATGGTATAGGGCAGTGGTTCTCAACCTTTTTAATGCCGCGACCCCCAACTGGTTGTAAGTCGAGGACTACTCAGCTGGTGCAGCACCGTTTGCAGAATGGGACTTTTGGTGGGCTCAGCAGGGCAGAGACAGCCTGGACAATTCCTATTGGCTTTGGAAAGCCAATAGAATTAGACTCTATTCAAGAGAGTCTATTCTATTGGCTTTCAAAAGCCAATAGAATAAAAGGAAGGGGCACAGCTAAGGAAAAGGGGGGGAAAATGGCGGACTGCATTGTTTGGCGACCCCCGTGAAATGGTCGTTTGGCCCCAAATGTGGTCCCGATCCACAGGTTGAGAACCACTGGTATAGAGTCTCCTGCTTGAGCAGCGAGTTGGACTGCATGACCTCCAAGGTCCCTTCCAGCCCTAGGATTCTATGTTTGATGTCCCAGTGCATTCTGTAGAATTTGAACTCGTGACACTTCTCTGGGATGTTTCGATTGTTTGAAAAGGAAGGACCCTGGGGAGGGTAGGATGATGAATGGCCGGGGGGGGGGCTGGGATTGCACCCATATGCACACACAACCCCCACCCATAACTTGGGATATCCTCTTTTGCTTTCTAATGCAGAAGCAGGCCTTTAAAAAGACTTCTGTTTTTAAAAGACTCCTTTTTAAAGAAAAGAAGAAATGGGGGTGGTGACAAGATAGCAGTCTTCCAGCATTTGAGGGGCTGCCAGGAAGAAGAGGGGGTCAGACTATTCTCCAAAGCAGTGTTTCCCAAACTTGACAATTTTAAGGCATGAGGACTTCAACTCCCAGAATTCCACAGCCAGCAACACTGGCTGTGGAATTCTGGGAGTTGAAGTCCACATGCCCTAAAATTGTCAAGTTTGGGAAACACTGCTCCAAAGCATCAGAGGGCAGGACAAGAAACTATGGTTGGAAGCTGATCAAAGACAGAAGCAACCTGGAATTAAGGAGAAACTTCCTAACAGTGAGGACAATTAACCAGTGGAACAGCCTGCCACCAGAAGTTGTGGATACTCCCATCACTGGAGGTTTTTAAGAAGAGACTGGACAGACACTTGTGTGAGATGGCATAGGTTCTCCTGCTTGAGCGGGGGGGAGGGGGCTGGACTAGAAGACCTCCAAGGTCCCTTCCCGCTCTATTCTATCCATGCCTTTCCAGCCTCAGCGAGCCAAAGTTTTCCCAGCTTGTCATCTGCAGAGGTTTTGAAGGAGTCAAAATGGGAAAGCTCAGGGTTTTGCCCATCCCTGATGTCATGAAAGCTCTTGTCTCCTCCGTGCAAGTTTAATGAATGATTCCATCTCCTAAGTTTCAGGGGGGGCGGAAGGAAATGACCAGTTCAAGCAGCATGGCAAAAACGTCACCCTAAGACCCCAGTTTCTGCCCCTGCTTGTGTGCAGGGCCACCAGCCTCCTAATCCTGTCCTTTGCCCTTCTTTGCAGATTTATGTGTGCACAGCTGCCAAACCCCGTCCTGGACAGCATCAGCATCATCGACACACCGGGCATCCTGTCCGGGGAGAAACAGCGGATAAGCAGAGGTGAGGCTTAAATGGATGTGGGGGGGGGGGGCGGTGTTATAAGGTTGTGGGTCCTCCTTTTGTTCCCTCCACAAAAAGGAAAAAAAAAAAAAGGTGCCAGTTGCGGCCTTTCCTGGACCAGGTGTCAACGCTGCTAATGTTGAATATTCTTGCTTTGACAAAATGTGCAGTACTGTCTGGTATTTTTAGAGTTAATTCAGATGACAGAGAAAGACAGAGGAGACTAGTAAGGAAGGGGGGGGGGTGTGAACTGAAGTGAATCTTTCCCCTCCAAGTTAATTGGAAGATGTGAATCATGACCCCAAAATAGGAGAAGGGAAATGCCTGGAATGTTATGTGCAAAGGAAGGAAAATTCAGATCTTGGCATTCTCCGTGCTGTGCTGACACTCCTCTACACTAATAAAGGTTTTTTTAGGTTAAGCCATGCCTGAAAATTCTTTGAAGTGTTTCATTAGTCAGACACATGACACCAGGATTCGCTGCGCTCAGTCATTCAGTCCCTAGTCATCTCACAGCTGAGCTACTGTAATGCGCTCTCCATGGGGCTACCCTTGAAGAGCATTTGGAAGCTACAGCTTACACACAGTGTGGCAACGTGGGCAGTTTTGGGCCCCTCCAAAATGGCCCCTGTGACACCACTGCTCCACAAGTTTCGTTGGTTGCCAAGCTGCTTCCGGGTGCAATTCAAGGTGTCGGTGACCTCCTTGAAAGCCCTCCGTGGCCCTCCAGTTTACTAGAGGGACCCCCTCACCCCACTGGGATTGGCCCGTCCCACCGGTGCTGGCATAGGAGGCATCCTGCAGGTCCCGTCAGTCCGATTATTCTAGCTGGTGGGGTCCAGGAGGGGGGACTTCTCTGCTGTGGCTCCTGCCCTCTGGAACATTTTGCCCCCCCCCCATGTGAGGTTGGCCCCAACCCTCCTATCTTTTCATAAGGGCCTAAAGACCTGGCTCTGCCCATTGGCTTGGGGCCCCAGTGGTGGAACAGCACAATGGAGGTGGTTGATTAAGAACAGATCTCACCTCCACCCCCGTCCTCCCCCTATGTCCTTGGATTTAACGTTTGATTTTATTTTTTTATTTTTTTTACTTAGATGTAACTGTAAGCCGCCCCGAGTTACCCTATCGTAAAATGGGCGGCCAGTAATTTTTATAAATAAATTAAATTAAACTTGTCTGAAATGGTATAGGTTCTCCTGCTTGAGCAGGGACTAGCTGGACTAGAAGACCTCAAGGATCCCTTCCAGCTATTCTATTTTATTCTATTCTCCATTCCATTCTTCTTCCTGATTCTATTCTATTCTATTCTATTCTATTCTATTCTATTCTATTCTATTCTATTCTATTCTATTCTATTATTTTCCATTCCATTCCATTCTTCTTCCTGTTTCTATATTCTATTCTATTCTATTCTATTCTATTCTATTCTATTCTATTCTATTCTATTCTATTCTATTCTATTCTATTCTATATTCTATTCCCACTGTAATCATACGTGAGAAAGACCTTGGGAGATGGATGAATGCCTTGGAGAATAAGGGGCCTTTCCGGGGCTGTAAAGAAGACAGCGGGAAATTTGGATTTTGTGATGCGATCCCCTTTTGCGGTTTTCCAAACCAGCTTCTGACAAAGGCAATGGGGGAAGCCAGATTAGCTTAAAAGACCACACAATTCGCTTAATGGCCATATGAATTACTTGCCTACGGTGAGCAAAAAAGATTGTAAAATTAGCGCCAACTCACTGCGCTTCTAGCCTAAGAGCTCCTTTTCAGATCTTTGGAGAAGAAAGTTTCCCTCCACTCACAAAAATCCATTGCTAAAGATCTGCTTGAGATAAAAAAACACACACACACACACACAAACACACAGCTGGCTACATTTTGTTTTTGCTTTTGAAGTTTTAGAAAAGAAGACAAAAGGAGATACGAACTCATGAAAAGTAAGAGAAAAGGGGGAAAGGTAGAAACCAAAGAGAAAGCTGAAAAAAAGGGGAAGAAATAAAAATAGAACAGAAAAAAAAAATACAAAGAAGTGGCTTTTGATCTTCTTTACGACAATTATAAGGAGAGTTATAAATTGACTTCTTGCCCTACAGTTACAACATAACTCTCTTCTATCTATAATCTGTCTTGGCTAAGTATCAAAACCAGAAGTCATAAGCTCTTTTTCCCCCAAAAAGTCCATAAGGCAGTGGTTCTCAACCTTTTTAATGCCGCGACCTCCAACTGGTCGTAAGTCGAGGACTAAACCGGTCGTAAGTCGAGGACTACTCAACTGGTGTAGCGCCCTTTGCAGAATGGGACTTTTGGCGGGCTCAGCAGGGCAGAGACAGCCTGGACAATTCCTATTGGCTTTTGAAAGCCAATAGAATTAGACTCTATTCAAGAGAGTCTATTCTATTGGCTTTCAAAAGCCAATAGAATAAAAGGGAGTAGCACAGCTAAGGAAAAGGGGAAAAAAAATGGCGGACTGCGTTGTTTGGCGACCCCCGTGAAATGGTCGTTCGACCCCAAATGGGGTCCCACGTTGAGAACCACTGCCATAAGGGGTAAGGGGCTTTGTTTCCCACCTTTCCCTTCCCATTGTCCAGAGCCCATCCCCAGGAAGGAATTGCCTTCTGGAAGCAGAAGAACAGAGTTGGATGGGACCTTGGAGGTCATCTAGTCCAACCCCCTGCTCGAGCAGGAGACCCTGTACCATTCCGGACAAATGGCTGCCCAGTCTCTCCTTAACAACCTCCAGTATTGGAGGCAAGCCCATTCCACTGATCCGGGCTTGAGCAGGGGGCTGGACTAGAAAGCCTTCAAGGTCCCTTCCATCCCTTGTTGTTCTGTGTTCGATACCTGGGGGGAAAACATAGTTTCCCATGCAGGTTGGTGGGTGTGATGCAGCACCGGCCAAGGACTCAGTCAATTAAAAATAGCTGCCCCTTCTCCGATGCTTTCCCCCTTCCCTTCTTTCCTTCTTTGACAGATCTCGGCGGGCCCCCTCCTCACTCTGGGGGGGGGCTTTCCAGGTTCTCCATCTATGCCCCCTGTCACGTTTGGGACTCCGAGGGGTGCATTTCTCTCTGCAGGAACGCAGGATGGAAACTTTCCTAGCTGAGTCAAAATCCCCGGCTTGACTGCGGGCAGGAAACACTGCAATCCGTGATAAGGCCCGGCTTGACCCTGGGCAGGTGTGCCCCCCCTCCCCCGTGAAATCCAGTGCAGGATTTTTCTGGTTTTGGGCCCCACAATTAGGCATGCGCCTCTCTGCTCTCCAGGGCTGAGTAAGTCAGTCCCCCCCTCTCCTGGGTGGAGACAAGCGTGTGCTTATTTCCCCTGTGTCCGTGAGTGGCTTTTCCTGGGCAGAGTGCCTCGATCCCTTTGGGAGCTGCCTTCGGACATTCTCGGGACACCCGTGCCAAATAAGGGAAGGCGGAGATGGAAATTCTGGTGTGGGGATTTTTTCCTCCAGGCAGAGGGCAGAGGAGGGTCCGTTCTCCCTGGAAACATTTTATGTATTTATTTATTAGTAAAATTTATATGCCGCCCCATCCCTAGGGACTCAGGGCGGTGTACAAAATTAAAACAACAAGTATAACAATTAAAAATGAATTCACACAGCATGTCCCAATCGAATCCCGCCCCCCCCGCGGACATCAACCCCAGGCCTGCCGGAACAGGAGAGTTTTAATAGCTTTCTTGAAGGCCGGCAAGGTGGGAGTAGTTCGAATCTCGGGGGGAAGTTGATTCCACCAGGTCGGAGCCACCACAGAAAAGGCCCTTCCCCGCCGGCCCGCCGGCCGACATTGTCTGGCCGACGGGACCTGAAGGAGGCCCAATCTGTGGGACCTCACCGGTCTCTGGGAACTATGCGGCAGTATGCGGTCCTGTAAGTAACCTGGTCCTATGCCATGAAGGGCTTTAAAGGTGACAACCACACCTTGAATTGCGTCCGGAGACCCACAGGAAGCCAGTGCAGCTCGCGGAGGATAGGTGACACATGGGTGTACCTTGGTGCACCCACAATCGCTCTCGCAGCTGCATTCTGAACCAACTGCAGCCTCCGAACGCTCTTCAAGGGTAGCCCCACGTAGAGCGCATTACAGTAGTCCAGTCTTGAGGTGACAAGAGTAACCGTGAGTAGAGCCTCCCGATCCAAATAAGGCCGCAACTGGTGCACCAGGCGAACCTGGGCAAAGGTCCTCCTGGCCACAGCCGATAGATGTTGTTCCAAATTTAGCTGTGAGTCCAGGAGGACACCCAAGTTGCGTGCCTGCACTGAGGGAGGTAAATTCCCCCCCCCCCCAGGACTAATGATGGACCATCAGGATGACCCTTGGGGGGCAAGACCCAAAGCCACTCGGTCTTGTCAGGGTTGAGTCTAAGCCTGTTCACCCCCATCCAGACTCTCACATCTTCCAGGCACCGGCACATCACGTCGACTGCTTCACTGAAAGGACACGGGGTGGAGATATACAATTGGGTATCGTCCGCGTACTGATGATACCTCACCCCGTGTCGCCGAATGATCTCGCCCAGCGGTTTCATGTAGATGTTAAAAAGGAGGGGGGACAGGACCGAGCCCTGAGGCACCCCATAATCGAGGCGCCTAGGGGTTTTGTTCTAACTTTGCACCCGTGCCAGAGGTGTCATTTTGCACATCCCTGCTGGACTATGGCTTACGGACTCGGGGTGTGTCTCCAGGTGTGCCTGTGTCACACTCGGTTGCGGTTGGTCTGGGTCCATAAACTGGCAGGGTTTGCGCTTCGGCAAAGCAACAGGGCTGCTGGGTAGGTTTAAAAAGTGCATATTAAACTTTTAAACTTGGGGAGAGAAGGGGAGTTCGGAAGACTTTTGCTGCCTCTGGCATTGTCTGCACGTGCTTAGGGTTGCTCCCATCATCCCCAGCCCCACCCCCCTCCCCTGGAGATGCAAGGAACAGTGTTCAGAGCATCTCTGAATTCATGCTGGCCAGAAAAATGCTGCTTTTGAGAATTGCACGTCCCACTTTTC